AGGAAGACCTTTCTCTCTGTCTCTCTCTCTCACTGTCTTACTCTGCCTGTCAAAAAAATGTGAAAAATGAAAATAAAATCCTAACTTCATGTATCTAGCATATACTTTTCACAATGATCATACTATCTAATTTTAGCACACCCTATCTTATTATGAAGCAAATTTTGAAGCAATTTTGTGTTATTTATTAAAGATTTATTTCTATGTACATTTCTAAAATAAAGAGCCTTTTATCTTCATTCAATCAAAATTCTCTAAAGTGTTATTCTTGAACTACAACCCAGACCAAATGCCACCTGCTCCAATTTCATGTGTGATTCAACCTAATAATTATTTTGGCATTTTTACATTTTGACATAAGTAAAAAGAAAACAATATTTCATGATAAGTGAAACTCTATGAAACTCAAATTTTAGTGTCCATTAATAAAAGATTTTCATTATTTAAATTTTAAACAAGTTAATTGACACATAATTTACATATTTATGGGATACAGTAATAACTCAATACATGAATACAATGTGCAATGATCAAATCAGTGTAATTAATAGTTCCATCCCTTTAAAGATTTAACATTTCTTTGTATTGGAAATCTTTAAATTCTTCTTGTTCATTATTTATAAAATATGAGAAGTCTTCAGCATTCATGGGAAATTGTATTATGAATAAAGCTATGCATGAATTTAAACATTTACCTGTTAATTCTATCTTTCATGAATTTTTGAAATACCCTCTGCTGTGGCCCGGGAAGGCAGTGGAGGATGGCCCAAGTCATTGGCCCTGAACCCACATGGGAGACCAGGAGGAAGCACCTGGCTCCTGGCTTCAGATCAGTGCAGCACGCCGGCCATAGTGGCCATTTTGGGGACAATATCCTCAATTTTGTCTGTAGACCCCTAGAACCTAAAATAGTTAGTGAGAATCACTTAGAAGGCTTCTAAAACACACATTCCTGAGACCCAGCCCAGTGACTCTGATTCAGTGCGTCTGGGACAAAGTTATGAATTTAAATCTCTTTTTTTGATGTGTCTTTTTAAACATTATGTTATTATTTGAAAGCCAGAGCTACCAAGACAGAGAAGGAGAGGCACAGAGAGAGAGATCTTTCCATCTTCTGTTTTGCTCCCTAAATAGCCACAAAAGCTAAGACTGAGCCAGGATGAAGTCAGGAGCCAGGAGTTTCTTCTGGATCTTCCAAGTGGGTCCAAAGCCATCCTCTGATGCTTTCCCAGGCACGTTAGCAGGGAGCTGGATCAGAAGTGGAGCAGCCAGGACTCGAATTGGAGATCACATGAGTTGCCAGTGCTGCAGGCCTTGGCTTTAATCCGCTGAGCCCCTGCGCTGGCCCCAGAATTTGAATTTCTTATAAGCTCCCAAGTATTGATATCACTGGTCAGCACCCACATTTTCTCTGACCTGACAAGAAAATGAGCAGGGATTCAGGGCAGGGGGAGTGATGAATCTTACTGTTCAGTCCTTCACTAAATTCCTATCCCAGTATTTCATCTGAGAGGCTCTCCCTATGCCCAGCAGTCACAGCCTGAGCCTCATATGTGAAATTTCATCTCTTCTTGGAGAAAATGAGGACAGCAATCCTGCCCATGTGGATCACATTAACCAGGCAGATATTTATACATTAGATGCACAGCACACCTTAACTAGGAGTCTGGATCCTAAGCTTAAAATATAGATAATTACCCAGTCTCAAAAATAACCTCTCTGCACTGAGCCTTTAAACAAAACGAGGGAGGAGGGTCTGAAGAAATTGAAGGTATGAAAGAGAAGGACTAAAATAAAATAGTAATGAAAGCCTCTGTTTTAGAAAACTTGAACATCAATTTTCCAAAATAGAACATTTAACTCCCATGTCTTTCCCAGTCTGAATCAAATGTGTTTCTTCTCTTGTACTGCCTTTTCTGGATTGTGCCATCATCTGTCCTTTGGTGTGAACTTTGGATAAGAGAGGATAAAGCTTGGCTCTGCTCATTCCAAGCTGCGTGACTTTGGCCAAGTTACATAAACACCCTGAGTTCAGGTGCTAGAATGATCCCTTGCTATCATTTGGCTGGAGCTATCTCTGATATAGCACTGAAATTCCCATGTCTCTGGGACCTCTTAGTCCCAGGCAAACTAGAAAGTTTGGTCACGTACCACAATTGTTAAGATACAACAAAACAAATTTTAAAACCAAGCATATATATTGGCTAAATGATTAGGTTATCATGAACATTCAAGAGCAAAAAATCAAGCACTGAAGATGAGTTTATTCCTCCCTCCCTCTTCAGGTACCCATGCTACAAAGTTCAGCATACTACTTGAGTATCCCCACTCAAGGACAATCCACACCACTCCCATGGCACAGCATCTTTCATTTAGCTCCTCCCACTCTTACAGCCCAATTCGCCCTGCTCAATATAATGCCTCACCTGTCTGTATAGAAAGCACTAGTCATCTGGGCTTCTCCATTGGGTTTCATACCTCTATTCTCAGCATCTCCAACAAATCTCACAGGTATCTCTTTCTCAGTTCTTAGTCATACAAGTTATTTTAGCAGTACATTTCCTTCTGTGACTCTCTTTTGCCCAACTAAAAGTGATGGCCCAATTCCTCTGTAGGAGTTTGTGGTCACCCCCTTCAGTGGCCTTAACACCTATTAGAAGTCTCCACTTTGGTTTACTGATTTGTTTGCTGTTGTGAAGTGGCTTTGCTTAAACTGTTTCTTCTGCCAGAAATACTCTCTTCCTCCTTGATTCAGAACAGTGTTTCTCAAACTCAGTGCTATTGATATTTCGGATTTGCTGTGTGGGGAGGGAGGGAGATTCCTGTGCATTGTAAGATGTTTAGCAGCATCTTTGACCCCTTACTAGCTTGATGTCAGTATTGCTTCCAACTTCAGCAATTATGAAAATCAACAATCAACTTGTAGACTACGTCAGATACCTCCCAAAGGACAAAGCTGCCTGCCTTTGAGAGTTAAATATGCCTACCTCTGCCTACCACCCAAAACCCAGTTTTCATTGTCCATAAAATCTTCCAAAGGCAGATTTATACCTTGCATCAATTGTTTATGAATATGTCTTTCTCCCTCATGAACTTGAGAACTGTTGAAAGGAAAGATCTATTTTTGATTTTCATCTTTTTACTCTCTCCACTCTCCAGGATAAATGCTTTATTAACAAGCCCCCAGTAAGTATTTCTTAAGTGAACTGTGAAGCCAAGCAGATGGTTCTTTCGCTGAGGCTTTATATTTCTTATTGAAAGTTAAGCCAGGGTTTCTTAGCACACTGAGATCATCTAATGCCTTTAAATAAATATATGAGGAGATCTTCAAAAAGTTCATGCAAAATTCACATTATGAAAAATTGTACGTGGCTCTCAAATATTTTTGCACCAGAATAAACTTGTCTCTGAATTTCTGTTTCAGCAAGTTTTCTCTAAGTATTGTCACACTTGTGTGTATATGTACTTATTATTAAATTTTTAAAGGTTGGATTTTTCAGTATCTTCTTAAGTTTGACAAACGAAAGGTTCACCAGTCTTTTCTAATTTTCTTTTATATTTTGGCTTTGTTTGTTTTCTCTTGACTGTGCTTTTGCCTCCCTGGTCCCATTTTACACAGAGCTCTTCCTTTGCTTAGCTTGCAAGCCTTTATTGCTGCGTTAGCCAGTTATACAGTCACATTTGCTCCTCTTTCTATCCTGTCCCTTCTAATCAGCTGCTTCACTAACTGGTAGCTGGCATAAAGAAGCCGTGCTAAGTGCACATCTGTTCACATCTGGCACATAAAGGGCTGTAGGTCACATTTGTACAGGCTGCACAGATGATTTCACAGCAGTCTAGGGAAAAGAAAAGAAAAAATCTCTGGCCTGAAAGTTTTCTGTATTTGATAGACCACAGTAACTGGGGCATTTCCAGCTGGCATTCAGCTTGGCACTTGGAACAAAGAATGAAGTGGGTTAGGAACAGGGAGCTGGCTGTTGCCAAGACCTTTTTTTTCCTTTTAGTTCCTTCTGGACTTGAGCGTAAGCTAGTTGGAAAGGATTCTCCATCTCATCTCCTCCTGCAGTGTGCCCTCTTTCAGTTTGCATGGACCAGCCAGTCTCAGACCATTGTTTTTAACTACATCCTGTCTTCAGCTTGCAAACATTAATAAAGGCAATGTTTTTACAAATAGTAGGCATTATGATTGTCTCTCCTCACTCTGTTCCTGAATCTACAATAACAGATTGGAAAATGAAAGCCAAGGTTCTGAGTCTCATTGGGAAAGTCAGAGTCTCCTTCTGAGTTAGTTGCTGGGACCAAGAAGCAAGGGGCACCTGGGAAGTAGCCAGGAAAACACAGGCTGGTGTAAATGTAGTCCAAAATGAACTGAGATTTTTGCCTACAAAAATGGAAATGAAAGTAATTTGTAAATGCTCTTTTGTGATACATTTTTTGAAAGAGCCAAATAAGCAGCTGTCAGGGGCTGCAACTAGATGTTTTATAAGGCACTTTTTAAATGCTGACAAATCTGTCATGTTTTTATCAACTTACCTACCGCTACTCCCAGATTCTATTGTTCATTTATTTGCATTCGGTTTCCCCTTCTGTATTCTCTTCCCTCTTCTCTTTCTCCTGTCTTAACTTTTCAACAGACACAAGGCAGATGTCTCCACAGGAAGTGAGTATAACATAACCAGCAGATCACTAGTACCTTCTCTTAGCAGTCATGGAGGCTGACATTCACCATTAAGGACTTTGAGAAAACAGAAAGGTAAAACAGAAAGTTTTGATCCTTGAGTGTTCTTGTAACCTAATAAGATAATAAGGAAAGAAGCTATTAGTAAATCCTTTGCTAGCACAATAATACTTTCTAGTATGTTTAGTTCCTGGCCAACTTGTCAAGGTGTTCAATGCATAAGAATTCATTTAACTTCCACATTCACCTTGAAGTATAAGCAGGTGTGCATTATTTCATCCACTATGTAGATGAGGGAACTACTGTACAGGGAGGATGAGTGATGTATCCAAGATTATGCAGTGATGAGTGCTCGATGCAATCAGGCTGCAAGCCTCATACAACAAATCTGGTGGGATCTTCCACCATTTTATCCTCAGAGCCAGTGAATCCAGATCAGGATGACGTTTATCTCAGCAGCAAAGGTGACTGTTTCATTCCATCATTTGTTTAAATGAAGTGATCATTGTTGTTTGAATCACAGGCATAGATGAAACAAATCAAGTTCTGTTGTGAAAGTCTGCTTGCAGACATAGAGTGTTCATTTTTGGAAACTAAATAAAAAGTGAAATAAAAATGTGATATAAGCAAATAGTGTCACTGACTTCTGGAGGCTAAATAGGAGAGGTCAGAAAATACTTCTTGGAGAAGATGGAGGATAAGGTGAGCTTTAATCTCATTTAAACAGTAAGGGCAATGTCTCAGAGAGATAATAACATCCCCAGGAACTTAGCAAGGAGATCAATTGCTATACGTATGGATGTATGTATGTACAGAAGGTGAAAAATATGGTTTACTGTACCAATACCACCACTTCACTCGTGCTCAGAATTAACCTCATTGTTTTGTTTTCTTCATCTTTATTTTTATTTATTTATTTATTTTGGACAGGCAGAGTTAGACAGTGAGAGAGAGAGAGAGAGAGAGAGACAGAGAGAAGGTTTTCCTTTTTCCGTTGGTTCACCCCACAAGTGGCTGCTATGGCCGGCGCGCTGCACCAATCCGAAGCCAGGAGCCAGGTACTTATCCTGGTCTCCCACAGGGTGCAGGGCCCAAGCACTTGAGCCAGCCTCCACTGCACTCTTGGGCCACAGCAGAGAGCTGGCCTGGAAGAGGAGCAACCAGGACAGAATCCGGCGCCCTGACCAGGACTAGAACCCGGTGTGCTGGTGCCACAAGGCAGAGGATTAGCCTAGTGAGCCGCGGCACCGGCCTTCTTCATCTTGAGAACAAAAATAATGGTACATTCTGTTTGCCAAATATTTTTAGGAGGCATCAAAACAAAAAAGAAAAATATAATAAAGCCAAATTGCTCTACAAATGTGAGCCCAGTGGCTAAACATAATCATGGCTATAAGACTATGTTGTTAATAGATTATTTTCAAATCGAAATATAACTCCAAAGAATAAAATGTGTAATACAAAATATTATATGTTTAAATAGCTGAATAAGCATATCCTACATATAAAGAAGAAAGATACCGAGAGGTTATTAGGTAGATGATGGAAGATTTAAAGAGATATCTCAAGAGCAGAATGTGTTCAATCTCATTAGTTATTCAGGAAATATGTATTCAAACCAAAAAGTGGTATCACTACACACACTTCAGTAGAGCACAATAAAAATAGTATCGAATGTCAAATATTAGCAAAGATATAGAGTAATAGAAATTCCCTATATTGCTGATAAGGAAGTATATTGTATCAATTTTTTTGGAAAAACTGCTTAACACTGTTTGCTAAAGCTGATCATTTATATATTTATATACCCCATGACCCAGGAATTCTGCTAGTAGGAATAACCAACTAAAATGTGTATTTTATTGCAACTTGATGCAAAAGCAAAAGATGCATGGCAGGATATTTATAGCGGTAGAAATATTTTAAATCTCAACACAACAAAATATCTCTCAATAGTAAAAGGAATAAAGTATCAAATACTCAAACAATAGGGTGCTAACTAGTTGCATGAACACACTTTGCTCCACCCAAGAATATAGAAGAATCGAAATAAAAATAACCTGAACAAAGAATCCATATATAAACCATTGTTAATTCATGATAACTATTTATGTAAAGTTTGGAAATATGCAAAACATTGATGGTAATAGAGGTGAAGAACAGTGGTTACTTTGGAGTAGTGGGAAGAGGGATCAGGACATGGCTGGCATGATGGTTCTCCTGCTGTGTTGATCATGTTCATTTTCCTGATTTTGGTGATAGTCCTATGTTATAAAGGTGAGTTAACTTTGTTAAAATTCAAACCATTAAATCCCAGCCTCAATACCTATGAGCAATGTAAATTTGAGCATGTTTTAACGAGTTTCCACTTTTATTTTTATTTTTATTTATTTGAAAGACAGAGTTACAGAGTGAGGTAGAGAGAGAGAGAGAGAGGTCTTCTATCCGCTGGTTCACTCCCCAGATGACCACAAGGGCTGGAGCTGCGCTGATCCAAAGCCAGAAGCCAGGAGCTTCTTCTGGGTCTCCCACTTGGGTACAGGGGTCCAAAGACTTGGGCCATTCTCTACTGCTTTCCCAGGCCATAGCAGAGAGCTGTATCGGAAGAAGAGCTGCCAGGACTAGAACCAGTGCCCATATGGGATGCTGGCACTTCAGGCTAAGGCTTTAACCCGCAGCACCACAGTGCCGGCCACACAAGTTTCCACTTTCTAAATATCACAGGACCATTCAATTGTTGAGAAGGTATATATGTAAGACATGTAGAAAATTGCCAATAATATAGTTAAATGCTCAATAATCATTAAAGTCAAGGTTATTATCTACAAAGGGAGTGAATAAAACTTCTTACTCTATAAAGTTCTTATGAATAGTCTCTGGAATGGTCAAACCTTAACATAATTGTTGAAAACTAAAACATTTCCAAAAAATGTAAATTTTTATGAATTAATCAAGCAAATTTGTGTTTGAGTTTGAGTTTATGCAATCCCTGAGTGTATCCTAACACACCTTGGCATTCTGAGAAACACACTCACCAAGTGAAGCCTATCTGAGATATGACAGTTATACCTCATTTGGAGACATCAACTATATCAATCTCTTCTCCCTTTCATTCTGCTTATAAGTATGCATTACTATCTGCCTAACCTGTAGAGTGTGGCTTACCTGAGAAATGTTCCATTTCTAGCCATATGGAAACTATTAAAACAAGAGGCATTAAATATTTAACAGGATCATTTATTTTATTTTTTATTTTTCTTCCTTCTTATTTTCAGGTCAGCAAGGGAATGCAGAGTGTGATGCTATGCATGTAGCTGCAGACTGGCTTGCTAACTTTCTAGTCTGACAGAACTGGCTTGTTTCCTGCCACTACCACTCATCAGATGACATTGGGTCAAGTCATTTCAGCTCTTTATGCTTCATATTGTGTGCCTGTGAAAGAAGATGATTATAAAGGACCTATTTTTGGCTGGCGCTGCGGCTCAATAGGCTAATCCTCTGCCTGTGGCACGGGCACCCCAGTTCTAGTCCCAGTGGGGGCGCCGGATTCTGTCCCTGTTGCTCCTCTTCCAGTCAAGTTCTCTGCTGTGGCCCAGGAGTGCAGTGGAGGATGGCCCAAGCACTTGGGCCCTGCACCTGCATGGGAGACCAAGAGAGGCACCTTTCTGGCTTTGGATCAGCGTGGTGCGCCAGCCTCAGCACACCAGCAGCAGCGGCCATTGTGGGGTGAACCAACGGTAAAGGAAGACCTTTCTCTCTCGCTTTCTCTCTCACTGTCCACTTTGCCTGTCAAAAAATAAACAAATAAATAAATAAAGGACCTAGTTTTTAGTGTCAGCCTAAGAATTAAGTGAGATAGTATACTGAAATATTGTAAGTTCATTGGTAGTAACTGGCAGTTTTTATTTTTATTTTTATTTTCTTTTATCCTCCCTCAGTCCTGACTGTATTCCTTTTTCCATAAATTGAGATGGAATTTACATATGATAACTTCACCATTTTAAAATGTGTAATTCAGTGATATATATTCACAAAATTGTGTAACAGTTAATATTATGTCATTCTAGAATATTTTTTTCATCCTTAAAACAGTCTCATTCCCATTAGAAGACACTGTTTTTACCTCCTTAAATTCCCTGACCACAATGAATCTGCTTCCTGTTTCTATACGTGTGTTTCTTTTGGATGCTGAAGGTTAATGGAATCATAAAATACGTGGTCCTTTGTGCATGGCTCCCTTCATAAAGCATGTTTTCAAAATTCATTCATGTTGTAGTAAGTTAGTACTTAAATCCTGGTTGATAGCTGAATAATATTCCATTGTGTAGGAATAGTGCATTATGTTTACCTTCGGGTATATTCAAATCTTGAAATTATATAATTTATTGCTTAAGCAATCATACTTTGCCTTTCATTTTAAGATTCCCAAAGAACAAGTTTCCATTAGACATACATTGAGAGACGCTATTGCATATTGCATATCAAAGTTTAGAATTTGATGCCTAAGTTTAATGGTAGCTTCATCCGTTCTTTTTTGAATATATTTAGCTCAGATATATAATTTCTTTTTAGCTTATTTTTCTAATTTATAAATGAGAATAGTAATGTTGCTCATATAATTTCTTTTGGAGTCAAAATTAGACATTTTCTGATGCAAAGATGCAAAATTAGGTCCTCTTTCCTAAGACATAGTCTCTTCTGTTTGTGAGAAATGCTTACTCAGATTTTCTGGGAATTTTTCTCTCCCATGTCAATGGACATAGACTTCCACAGCAACCCCATCTTTACTATTTAAGCATCACAGATAAACAAATGTTCCAGGTAACATTCGCTACCCTGTGCCCAAAATTGTATGATACAATAAAATAGTTTTTTTTTTTTTTGAGTATCAATGTATACTTAGAATCATAAGAACAAATTAATTCAAGTGAACTGAGACTTTTTTTAAAAAATATTTATTTATTTGAAATTCATAGTTATAGAGAGAGAGGGAGAGACTGAGTGAGCGAGAGAGACAGAGAGATACTTCCTTCAACGGGTTAACTTCCCAGATGGTTGCGATGGCCTTGGCTGGGCCAGACTAAAGCCAGAAGTTTCATCTGGATCTCCCATGTGGATAGCAGGGGCCCAAATGCTTCAGCTGTTGTTGGATGATTTTTCTGAGGCCATGAACAAGGAGCTGGTTCAGAAGTGGAGCAACTGAGACACAAACTGGCATTTGTTTGGGATGCTGGAGTCTCAGATGGAGGCTTTACTTGTGGTGCCCCAACACTGGCCCCCCTGGTGAACTGGGATTTAAATATTGACTAGCGTGCTTTCATTGGCTCAATTTTTGCTTCAAGTAGTTTTATAAAAAGGTTATTTCAATGTAGTTCAAGAAGACAGTTACTAATGATGCAATAATACAAAAGGTAATGACAGATATAGGCTAGTTTAAGTATACATAAATATGCAAGTAATATCC